TCAGGCAGCCTCACCTTTGAATATTAAAAAAAAATAAATAAATAAATTTTCAGGCAAATTTGTTCAGAAAAATCCTACAGATTAAAAAATGCTAAATGTTTAAGATATAATTTTTTGGGATCTAAATCCAGAAAATCAAAATTCTAAAATTTAATTATCACGTTACGTGATGTCAGGGATCCACTATTCAAACTCTGCTTATAATTATTAATAATTATTACTAATCACAAGTGGAGTTTAAATATTGAATTTCTGACATCACGTATGTGATGATTAAATTTCAAGATTTTGATTTTCGGGATTTTGATATAAACCCAATTTTTCGAAGAAGGTCTTTGAAAATTGGTCTATACCATAATCGTGACCAAAATTTGCGAGACACTAAAGAAATAAAATTATTATTTTTTTAGTTACATGTATTTTGTACGTAATCAAATTTTTGTCCTAAATAAAACATTCCATTCCTTCCATTCCTGGTTTTAGCGCGAAAACGTCGCGCAGCTACCTAATTGATACAATGAATGCCGCTTCGCGGCATTTTCCGATCACAGTGCCAATATGATGCTATATTATCATGCTATAATATATATATGGTTATGGAAAGCTATATGATAAATATTTAATACTATATATCAAAAGATCGATTTTTTGAGATTGTGAAGATATACTTTCCAATAGGGTCAAATTTTAGCATCAGCCGCAATATTAATTTTGGATGGCTTCATTGGAAATATTACTGTAGATTTGTTTTATATAATTACAAATCTCGAGATTTTAAAATATACTAAATAAATAGATTTTATTTATAGCGATATTATTTAAAGCCTTCGAATAATTAGAAATAGATTAACATTTGATAATATATACAATATAAAAGTCTAATTAGGGACAATTATAGTGCTCAATAAACGATTAAGTTGTTATTTAACTTTAATTTTATTGATATTAAAGTTAACTTTAAATTTTTTATTGCATGTGCTTTGATCTATTCATTAACGTTGACACAAATTTATAAGTAACCAAATCGGGAACCTTTTCATAACGATGTTGTCTAAATTATGAAAGTGTACTGCTAGCTAATTTTTTTCCCCGACAAGAAATTTAAAACAATTATATTTCATACCGAGAGTATTTCCCGACAGGTTAGAGTTAAATTGGGTTAGGGTCAGGAGAGGCTGTAGTTAAATTACCTCCCCCAGGGGCATAAAGTTAAATACAGTAGTTTGAAACGTTTGGTTCCCAATTAAACCTAACTGTTGTACGATTATCACGTGACCCATTATGATGTCAAAAATATCAATTTAAAATTCACTTTGTCTATAAATATCATTATTTCTGCCAAAATTAGCCCATTTGTATGTTTTCTTTTTCGAATGGTTCCGAATATATCGTTATTACATCGTCCAAATTAACGTTATGTACTGTTGACTATGACACTATAATTTTGGGTAAAAGATTATTATACTGTTACACTGTAGCAGAATTCGTTTTGTATTTGAAATACGTATTGTGGACTGTGCTCGATCAATTTCTACGAATTCTATGAATGAGTAATAGAAATTTTAGCCTGGCTTTACTATTAATATATAGCCAACTTCAAGCTTTAAATTATTTAAAGAAACGGATTTCATGAATAATTGATTAAATAGTTACAATATCTTAAAAATGAAGATATGTTGTTAAATTTTCTTCAAATTACACAAGTTTTCTAACAAGAGGACATTCGTCAAATTATATATATGCACAATCGTATATCTAGACTAGACATTGGATATAATTGATTTGCTTTAAATAAATAAATATATATATGCTATATATATAGTATAAATTTAGAATATAATGATAGACTCGAAAAGTTCAACTTATTGCTATGCGAGTCACTGTATAAGTTGCTAAGCTGCTATATATAAATGATTGACAGACTTCTTTTAGTAACAAATAGTTGAAGTCTAAATCTACGATAATATCCAATAGGAATGTGTAATAGTAATATTAATATAGTTTGATATAACATTTATTTATGTCATTTGATCATCACCTCCGCACGAAAGTAACATTACCACACCTCTAATAATGTAATATGTCACGTCCACTTAACGAACTTAACGTCAATAGGACAATGTATGTACGTAACTACATATCGCCCTTTTGCTTGTGAAACATTTATGTTATATTTATATTAATGTCACTCTCAATAACAATCCTGCACGGACTGATAATGGCATAAAAAAAAATCTCTCTTATCTAAGTTTCATATTCTTTGTGATTACAAAAAAAAAAAAAAAAAAAATTCTCTATTCTATATACAACTTTTAAGACAATGACAGAACAACCTCTTACTACAAATACTTTACCATCACGACTTCAACGAAATGGAAAAAATAGTCTTAGTTCCAAAAGTCTTACTAGTCAACTTACCGAAGAGAATTTAAAACTTCACACCACAGTGGTATGTCTCGAACGTATGCTAATATAATGCTTTGCTAGACTTGAGTTTAAAATATGAGTTGCCACTCTATTATCAATATAATAAGTAGCCAATAGTTAAATTATGAATTAATCATTATATAAATTTATTTCAAATTTATTTTATAGTAAATGCTGATATTAAAAAAAAAAATAAAAATAAAAAAAAATAGCAGTAAATTTAATTGTCTTCGATTTATTAATACTTACCTTTCAATTTGCAAATTACAGGGGCCATCACCACGAGAAGCAAAAACGCATTTAGTATTGGTATATGTGGACCTTCAAAAACAGTTGGTGGCCCTTGAAGAACAAATGCGGATAGAAGCAAAAGCCGCTCAGGAAAAATTTACAATGTCTCTGCCTAAAGATACTCCATCCGTTATACCAGAAATTATACAAATACCAATATCTAAACCTAATCCTATTCCATTACCATCTCATCCTCCCATTGAAGAAGATGATTTATCTGATCCCTACGACCTTAATTCTACATCTCCACCACCACTAAAAAAATTAATAAAAAACATGAAAAGTACACATCGTATAAAATCATTATTTAGAAGTCCATCAAAAAAGACTGTTAATTCGGCTGACAAAGG